CGCCGAGGAAAAAAATCAGTAGGTGTTTAATCTGCAATGGAGATGAACTTCCCATCTAACCCAAGGAGATGTGGGACTGCTCACGGCTGAGGATTGATAAAATTGTCAGATGTCAGGACCATACATAATCCCTTCCAACCTTCTAGCTGTAGCTTTACAGATGAGGAGTCTGAGGCCCAGAGATGCTAGGGAACTTGTGCAAGGCCACCTAGCCATCAGAGCCTGGGTAGAAATCCATGACCTTCCTGCCACCCCACACTGGACAGCTCTAGCACTTGTTTTCCTCAGGAAGTCCTGTTAGCTGAGCCTCCCACTCTCCCTTCTTCCTCTCCCTCTCACGCTACCCAATAATAATTGACAACATACCAATCCAGCCCTCAGAACCTGGGAGGCCTAGTTTTCTGATCCTAGCCACAGTGGATTGATTTCTTTGAAAAAGAAGGAAGCAGCTAGCTTTAACTTGGCCCCAGTCAGAAGCTCTGAAGCATTCAGTGATTCTGCCACACAAAGGCTTTGACTTTACAAAACGTGCAGCTGATCTCACAAACTTTCAAAGCCCTAAAGAGCAGAATGATGAAGCATTAGGTCAGCAGTACAGGATGGAGCAAAGGTAGGTTTACAGCTGTTCATATGGAAAATAATACAATAATTAATAAATAATCATACAAGAATAAACTCTGTGTTTGGCGTACTCACAACTGTAAGCTGCCCATCCTGTATAGTGACTCATGGCCAGATTCTCTTATTGCCCCAAAGTCCTAAATCCACAACACAGCATTAGCTGGATTTGATACCTGTAAAGTCTTGCAGCCATCTAAAAGTAGAGTTCCTTATTTTACCAAATCCACCACATTCCCTGTATGTGCATCTTGGTACCTGTGCTACCTGAGCATCTAGTATTTATTGAACTCCTATACAGCCTCATCAAACAATACAGGCACTTGTGAAGCATCGGGGAGGAGGGAGAATCTCAAAGGACTAATCTCTGGACTAATCTTACCCTGCTGACTCTATTCATCCTCTGCCCCAACCCACACACCTTCCAATTCAAACCAACTTTCAGCTATCCATGGTTTCCTTCTAGTTTTTTTCGTTAATCCCTGAAATCCAACTGTTCCTTTTGCCTCTATAGTTTCTTCAATGCTATTCTGAGAGGGCCAAAGAGCCAAACTGGTTCACTGTCTGCATGGAAACCAGAAAAGAAGAAGAAGGGGGGAGAAAGAGGAGGAAGAGAAGAAGGAGAACAAAAAAAAAGAAGATAGCCCTAACCGGTTTGGCTCAGTGGGTAGAGTGTAGGCCTGTGGACTCAAGGATCCCAGGTTCAATTCCGGTCAAGGGCATGTACCTTGGCCGCAGCCACATCCCCAGTAGGGGGTGTGCAGGAGGCAGCTGATTGATGTTTCTAATTCTCTATCCTCCCTTCCTCTCTGTAAAAAATCAATAAAATATGTTTTTTTTAAAAGAAGCTATATGGCTAAAATGTATCTCTCTTCCTCCCTACTGAGCAAAATTCAAAATTGTTTTCCACCATATTCAAAGCAGATCTTATCCCATCATTAACTGGCACTGTTCATTCATTTTACAAACACTTTAAACACCACTCTGTGCTGACACTGGGAATATTTAGGAACAACACAGAGAAGGTTGGTGACCCATGAAGACTGCAGGAACCAGCTGTAGTTGCTACAGGCAGAGGTTACAGTACAGGAACAGTGTGAAATGTTCAGGTTAGATGGTGAAGGAATGGAAATGAAGGTGGCATGGCTAGAGCAAAGTGCTCAGTGGTAGTGTGGTAGGACTGCTGGCTCCTAATCACTCACCTGCCTGCCTGATTGCCCCTAACTGCTTCTGCCTGCCAGCTTGATAGCCCCCTAACTGCTCCCCTGCTGGCCTGATTGATGCCTAACTGCTCCCCTGCTGACCTGATTGCCCCCAACTGCCCTCCCTTGCTTACCTGGTTGCCCCCAACTACCCTCCCCTGCTGTCCTAATCTCACCCCCAACTGCCCTCCCCTGCCAGCCATCTTGTGGTGACCATCTTGTGGTGGCCATCTTGTGACAACATCCTGGCAGCCATCTTGTGATGGCCTAGGCTTTTATTATATAGGATAATGAAAAACCATAACTGTTTTAAACAGGGGAGATCTGACCCACATTTGCAAACACGGCTCTGGCTGCTGTGTAGCTAATGGATCTTAGCATTACCTAGAGATGAATCTTCTTGGGCATCAGGAAAAGAAATACCTTTCTGGACTTTAATTTACCTCAGGAGGGACACTTGTACTGGTTATCCACCCAGACTAGCATAAAGTATAATTGATTTTTGGCCTTCAGTTTTATAAATCAACCACTTCTGAATTCTTTAGAATGAATCAGTCCCTCAGAACCTCTGGGCAAGATGATAAAATTGAGTTTCTAGACCTGCAAAGCTGTGATTCAGATTATTCCAAAGTCCTGTCCACCTGTGAGGTCCTAAGTCAGAGCCTTCTCAAATCCCTCTCAGTTGCAGACATTTGCTATAAATCATTCTCATGTTTGTTGAGTAAATGATTGGATGAATGAGTGAATACATCAAAAATAGATGGTTGAATGGTTGTCTAGTTGGATGGGAGAATGAAAGGAATTGGTGTGTGTGTGTGTGTGTGTGTGTGTGTGTGTTGGTGTGTAAGGTTCCAGGGGAGAGGGAAATGATGGATCAAAAGCTGTGGGAAAGTGATCTGGCCTCTTAAGCCACCTCCTACTTATTCTTGGACACCTCTCAATCAGCTTTCCAGGTGCTTTGGCAGCTTAGAGACCTATGTAAATGGCCTGAAGCAAGTGGTCAGAATCTACCTAAGTCATTTCCTCTTGGAAAGCAAATAAATCACCTTTCCTTTAGGACCCCATATTGCCTACAGACTTTCCACCTCCCCAAAGTTCCCCTCCAACCCTGGGTAGGGTTAGGAGAACTCAGGATGAAAGAAGGGGAATGTGGGTCTGCTGAGACACTGAGTTGGGGTCCCTTGTGGGGCCAGAGGCAAAGATGGAAGCAGAATCCTCCACTACCACCGCCATCACCACAGACAGGTCTGATTCCCAAGCACCCTACTCTAAGGTGGGCTGTCAGGTGCCAGCAGGTTAAGTAGTTGTTCCAAAAGGCTCATCTGAGTTCCCCACTCACAACCTGCTCCTTGATAAAACATCCAAGGCCAACATGCAAATGCAATCTATGAAGTTAGCCAGGAGCTATTTTCAATACTTGGTCTGGATTCATGTGTCAGATCAGCCAGTCACTTCCTTGGCCTCTACTGGACTGGGCCTCCAGACAGAGAAAAGAGGTAGATGTTGAACAACGTGTTTTCCACCATTGGGAAACCTTGCTACTCTGATTCTTGTGGGAAGCCCACTCTGCTCTGTTAGCAAAAGGCAGGGGGAGCCAGTCACAGAACTTAGGCCTGAAAGCATTCAGCAGGATTTGCATCTGTTTTCCTGCAAGGTTTACAGTGGAGCAAAATACTTTCCACATGGTCTGAATGGAGGAAACTTCTTTCCACTTGCTTTTGATCCTTAGACACTGCAACCATCATCCCATAGAACCTCACTTGCTGACTCCACCCCCAACTTCACTAACACTGAGCAAGATGACCATGTCCCCATACCACAATAGTTTGCAGTTAAATTTCAAATGTGGTGTAATTATCAGCTGGTATTTGTTAACATGTAATATGTGTCAGGCACAGTTTCAGCACTTTACGTATATTAACTCATTTAACTTTTGCAGCTACTCCTTATGTAGGTGCAACTACCTCCATTTTACAGGAAATAAAGTGAAACAGGTTGTTAGATAACTTGCTCAAGGTTACAGAGCTAGCAAGCAGAAGGACTGAAATTTGAACCATGACAGTGTGGGTCCAAAGACCAGCGATTTTCAGCCTTTTTCATCTCATGAACACAATATAAACTAATTAATAAAAGTCTGCAACACACCAAAAAATTTGCCAAACTGACAAAACAAAACAACAACAAAAAAACACAAAAAAAAAACCACAAGTATAATTTTGACTCATTCATACCAGACAGCTATTGTTGTGTTTGGTGTTATCATTTTTTAATTTGGCAATCTAAGGGAAAAGAGGTTAGTGCCCCTGACTAAATAGTCAGGTATTGCATGTTGCATGTTTTAAAAATTCTTGCATCATACTGGTTAAAAATTACAGTGCTAGACCAGTGTGTGTGTGTGTGTGTGTGTGTGTGTGTGTGTATGTGTGTGTGTGTATAATGATGCTTGAGAATCTTGTTGCAGCTGTAGCATGCACTATCTCTCCACTTATACTTACATTGGTTTTCTTTTAGTTTTTTTAAATATGTTTTATTAATTTTTTTTATTTTTTTTATTTTTTTACAGAGAGGAAGGGAGAGGGATAGAGAGTTAGAAACATCGATGAGAGAGAAACATTGATCAGCTGCCACCTGCACACCCCATACTGGGTATGTGCCCGCAACCAAGGTACATACCCTTGACCAGAATCGAACCTGGGACCCCTCAGTCTGCAGGCCAACACTCTATCCACTGAGTGAAACCAGCCAGGGCTTACATCATTTTTTTGTTGTTGTTTTTAACCATTATTGAAGATATTATTTAACATTGAGAATATACACTGAGTGGCCAGATTATTATGATCTCTGAATGCATAATAATCTGGTCACTCAGTATATATATACACACACACACATATTAGAGGCCCGGTGCATGAATTTGTGCATGGGTGGGGTCTGGCCAGTCTGGCCAGGGGGAGGAAACATGGGCAGTTGGCTGGCCAGCCTGCTGGTCAAACTCCTGGTTGAGGGGACAATTTGCATATTAGCCTTTTATTATATAGGATATACAATGAGTGACCAGATTATTATGTGTTCAGAGATCATAATAATCTGGCCACTCAGTGTATATCCTTTCATTACCCTTCCTGTAGTGGCTTAGAAAAAGATACTCAATTTATTTTGTTTTTAAAAACAGAATTTAGCGAATGCCATAACTGAATCGGGTTAGAAACATATGTACTTTCATCCAACTGCCTGGCAAAATGCCCACAGCGTATTCTGTATTTTAATCTTCAGCAATTGCTTGCTATGCATCTTCCAATAGAATTTTCTGCCACAAGACTACATTTAAATTCATCTTCAGATTTTTTCTATGTGTTTGACTGGTTTTACCATGATTTGTGGCTTTTATGTTTCTAAACATTTATTATTAGTAATTTGGTAAAAAAAAAAAAAAAAAAAAAAAAAAAAAAAAAAAAAATCTTTAAGTACTGAAATATTTAATGACTTTAAACACTGATGGGAAAATGTTGAAATTTGTCTTTATATACTCTTTATATTACATTTTTTCATGTCTTGCCTATGGTAATAGTCTTGTTAGCTCTTAAGGTAGAATATACACTTTTGAATAAGGTCATTATGAATGAAATGGCCAATATATCAATTATCCTCTGAAAATGTTAATCCATTGTTAGCTGATATTTTTTCAGATCTGATTTTATTGTTGTCGTTTTAACAGCTAATAAAGATTATGATAAGCTCTTACTAAAAGCTGAAGAAGAATCCATTCTGCCATTTTCTTGTTCTCCTCTTGTGTTCTGCTTTTTCTTTTCAGGAAGCTTTTTAAACCACTTGTCCATTTTGTGAGGCTTATTGGTTAAAAGAATGCAGTCCAGAAATATTTTTAACACAAATTCATAAACTGCAGTAAATTGCAATTTGCTAAAAGCAAACAAAGTGTGAGGTGCTATTGCACCCCACGCCTTTCCCAGGACCCAGAGGCACCACAGGCACCACAGACTCCCAAACTGGGGACAGCACCAGGGTGAATCTAGGTATTAGAATATCAAGAAAGTTTGATTTATTTTTTACCTTTGGATAAAAAGAAATATAAAAGAAAGCTGCAATATTTTATTCTCTTGCTCCAGGGGATTATCTTGCAGGCACCTCACTTCGGGGGCCTCGTGGAAATACTTTGCAGTCATTAAAAATTATGTTATAGGCCTAGCCGATTTGACTCAATGGTTGGAGCATCAGCCTGCAGATTGAAGGGTTTCAAGTTTGATTCCAGTCAAGGGCATGTACCTTCATTGCAGGCTTAACCTCTGCCTTGTCTGGGTGCATGCAGGGGGCAACCTATCAATGTGTCTCTCTCACATTGATGTTTCTTTCTCTATCTCTCCCCCTCCCTTCCACTCTCTCTGAAAATCAATGGGAAAAAAATATCCTGGGGTGAGGGTTACCAACAATAGCAAAAATTTATGTTATTGCCCTGACTGGTTTGGCTCAATGGATAGAGCGTCAGCCTGCAGACTGAAAGGTCCCAGATTCTATTCCAGTCAAGGGCATATATCTTGGTTGCGGGCACATACCCAGTAGGGGATACGCAGGAGGCAGCTAATCAATGTTTCTCTCCCTGATATTTCTAACTCTCAACCCTTCTCCCTTCCTCTCTTTAAAAAATAAATAAATTATATATATTTTTAAAATTATGTTATTGAAGAGTACATATAAGGACAATGAAAAGCAGTCACAATATACTAAATGGAGAAAGTCAGGTTCAAACACAGGATATACATGATAATTTTTATTTTATATATGAGTATATATACACATAAATGATAGTCATTCACATAAATGCCAAATCAAAATGTCTGTCATGCCATTATCACCTATGACAGTCTGCTCCCTTTTGGGATAAGTGGATGTTTGGGCACACATAGTTTGGAAAAGAGTGGAAAAGCACGCTTGGCCCTCAGCATGAACATAGCTGCAGAGCTGAGCTTATGCAATTGAGAAATAGATGGAGAGGAGGGGCTGGAGTCAGAAATCAGCAGCCCACGTGAGCCCCAAGCTCCCCAAAAACAGGGTAGGCGCCAGGTGCCTGGGGGGAAGTGGATAAAAAGTAGGATCCAGCGGGCACTTTCCCAGCTTCCAGCTGTGTCCTGAGGCAGACTCCCTGTCAGGCTAGTCTTAAGCAATGACCTGTGTTGATATAACATGTTCTGTCCTCCTCACATGCCAAACAACATGGTTTGGGTCCTCAGATGAGCAGGGAGAAAGCTGCTCTTCACATGATACACAGAAGGGAAGCATCTGTCATCTGAGAAATTAAACCATTGGCCCCAGACCGTGGGTCCCAAGCTCTTTGTTCTCTCTGGTTCTGCTCAGCCTCCCAGTTCTCTGGCCCTCCCTGGCCTCTCTCCTTTGGAGCAGGGGCTTCTTAGGCCTCTTGCCCATGCTGACACCAAACATCTGCTCAGTGCTTCTGGCCTCTCTCTTGGCATCTATTTTAGCAGGTCTTCTAGGCCTGATAGGTGCCCAGAGAAGATCCCTGAGGTGGCCCAGGACTGACTGCCCACCTATGGCCAAGGCCATTCAGAGCCCCATGTCCCTCTCCTCCTGCACTCACCACAGTGGCAATCTGGCCTCCCAGTCAGATACTACAGTGCCAAGTGGGAAAACTGGAACCCCAGAAGAGTTAGGGAATGAGCCAGAGCCTGAGATTCCTGTCATCCCCACACTCTGAGGCTTCCTTCTTATTAGGTCCAAGAAATGAGGCTTTCACTGGCCCTGCCCCTGAAACCAGCACTGGGTGCATCAGCATGTGTGCCAATAGGTGTCCCTCGCCCAGAGGTCAAAGCCTTGGCCCAAAGAGATAGCAAAATAACAATACTCATTATAGCTGCCATGTTTAGAGCCCCAATAAAACAACAAGTGCTGTACATGCATTGTTTCTTTTAATCCTATCAATAGCCCCTGGACTCTAGGGCCTAGAGGGAACATTCTTTCTCTTCATTTTTATCGATGAGGTAACTGAGGCTCAGAGAGGTTAAATAATTTGCCCAAGGTCTCACAGCCAGGAAGTAGAAAAGCTAGGACCTGGAGAGTCTGTCTGGGAGTCCTGTGTCCCTTCCTCTAGGCAGCCCTGCTTAAGTTTATTTTAGGGCCCTGTTGTGAACTCTAGTCCCAAGATCCACTCCAGTGGCCACCAAGAAAAGGGGCAAGTTGTTGGCACTTGATGGCCAGCAATATCTCTAAGATACTGCTCACTCACTCAGTGGGATTTCACTCCACAACACAGATGGCCCTGGACAAGGCCTTATCAAATGCTATCAGATCCTCCCTAAGATTTGGTAGGGAACTGGTAGACAGTGCTGAGATTTGAAAGTAGAGGAAGGAGCCCTGATGGAGGGAAAGGGGAAGTCAAGGCCTGGATGCAAGCATTTGTGAACACCCAATCTGCAATGAGCCCCTTGAGGCCAGGATTCTAGGCCCTGGCGCCCAGCCCAGAGACCCAGACTCTGGATGTGTGCGAGGGAGCGTGTGGGTGAGTGTGCATGCAGATGTGTTTTGAGGGGAACACACTCTCACCAGCCAAGTTGGGGTTTGCACTCTGAGACACCAAGGCCCAAATACTTGTTCTGTACTCTGGCCAGCTCTGGAGCCTCTGTTTAAAGTAGCCTGTTTTGGGACGAGAAGAAAAGCCCCACACAATTTAAGAGGCCACTGGGAGAGCTGATTTTAGTTTTTAAGAGTTAATACTACCACCCACAACTCACTGTTTATGAACAACCTTTGTTCTCCATCGCTGCCTTAAACTGTGCTCAAGACATTGTATCCACGTGGTCAGGGAAGCACCTGGGGGCGGGGCCAGGCAGCACTAATCAATGTGTGGGAGGTGAAAGAGGGAGGCTAGACAAAGGCAGAGAAGGCAGCTGCTCCTACGCACAGCTGTGTGGCCGGCCATCTATTGAGAGTAACAGACCCTGTTAAGTTATGCAGCCAGGCACACATAAATCAGCCACAGTCTCACATCTTTAGGAAGGCTCCCGCAAGCCTAGGGGGGCCAAACAGGCCGGCTACCTGGGTAAACAGGAAGGAAACAAAGGACGAAGGGGGTCTGTGGCTCTTCTACAACACTGAGAGAAAAAGCTCAGAGAGGCAGAGGCGGGAGCATGCAGACTGTGCTATTCAGGGCGCTAAAACCCTAGCGCTGCTGACTTGGGCCCAACCTGGCAGCAGACAGTCAGTCTTGTGGCCTGAAGGGGAGGAGTTTATTTCTGCCCCTGGACCTGCCTCAGCTAACAGGCACTTCTGAGGAAGAGCCACAATGATCTAACGTGCAAAGTGGGGCCCAGATTAGTTCCCTTCCACCCTTCCAACTCCTTCCAACTTCCATGATGCTTTGGAGCATGGAGGTGAGGCTCCCTGACTGATGGAAGGAACAGGGGCCCTCCATATGAGCTGCGGAGAGATTTCAGCAGGCGTGGAGCCCATCTCCCTCAGAGTCAGGGACAAGGTTAATGAGGAAGCTGCCTCCCAGCAGCCGAGCCCAGTGCCCATTGCAACAAGATGACAGCTCAGGGCTATGCTTCATGGCTGCAAATTCTCTGAAATGCACTTGCTCTCTGAAACAATGACACTGAAATAAAAACCTAACAGGTTTATAGCCTAAAATCGTGATCATTTCGTGTTTTAAAAAGCTAAAGAGTCCAGTTCTTTATTTTGCTTTGGCCTCCCTACCTCAGCTGTCATCTACTACTGCAGACAAAAGCAGGAATTAATTACTATTATTCATTCCCAGGGCAGCACCGAGTCCTGCAGGCATCGTTCTTCCTGGAAGAGAACAGCGTCAGGAAATCTGATTCCCAATGCTATGGAAACAAAAAATGCTATGGAAACAAAGAGAGGAGAATGGAGGCAGAGGAAGGAGACAGGAACAGGGAAGTGGAGAGGAGGGCTCCAATTCTGCGGCTCATACTCTCTCTTCAACAGCCTTGTCCCTCTAGTTTAGTTGTAATGCTGTGAAAGTTTACAAAATCATATACACTGGGGAACAGTATATGATTAATGATTACCTTAGATTAATTAAGGTAAAACTCTTTTTAGTATTTAGAAAGGCATAATCTCTTTTGACCATAAATAAAGATCTAAACTAATGGAAAAGTTGTACAGCAATGTGAATGAAATAATGCCACTGAAACCCACACAT